TTGTATTGTTTTGCAAATGCTGTGAATTTTAAACTAACTCACATCTGTTAGAGGTTTTATTAAAAAATAGGTATACTTTTGCATAAAATATGATATGAAAATTTTGTCAAAATACTTTTGTGTCAATTTCGTTAACAAAATACTATAAGTTAACTCATACCTGTAAATAATTTAACTTGAAAAGACTTTCGTTGTTGTAAATCGTCATAAATACTAAAACAAACTGTCAAATACTATATAAAAACCTGTTTTCATGACGTTTTCTGATTAAAATGTTTCTATAAATGCTGAGAATTTTAAACTTTTTCACATCTGTTAGAGGTTTTATTTAAAAAAAGGTATACTTTTGAATAACATCTCTAATGAAAAGTTGTTTGTCTGTCATCATCCTTTTGTTTCAATTTCGTTTACAAAATACTTTAATTTAACTCATGCCTGTAAATAATTTAACTTGAAAAGACTTTCGTTGTTGTAAATCTTCATGAATACTAAAATAAACTGTCACACACTGTAAAAAAAAGGTTTCCATATCGTTTCTTGATTGAAATTGTTTTACAAATACTGTGTTTTTATTTGATGATTATTAAGTTCCATACACGTTTACTAATATTGTTTCGACCTTTTTTCTTGCAATACAGACAGTACAAGACTGACAACAATTCCACTTGACTTATGCAAAGCTTTTATTTTTTTTATTTTTTTATTTTAGCATTAAATTCTGAATTTATTGATAAGATAAATGATTCTAGAATTATAGATAGAATAAGTAGCATCTTCGCAAGGTCTTTTTTTTTTTTAATTTATACATTGTTTTGATGCAAAAATATTAAACAAACGTGTGAGAAGTGACACATCTCAGACTTATGCAAAGCTATTATTTGAGTTAGATCATTTAAAGCATCTTGAAATCAGATTAATGTTGTAAGTTACTTTCTATAAAAAAGTCAACTGAACTGGGTCTCCTGAAGTCTATATATTATATGAAATCAAAAAAGAAATTGTTCCAATCGTTTGATTGGATTTGTACGACGAAAATGAGAAATTGTCTCAGACAGGCTGAGAAGGTTTAAGTGTAGACTCTTCTAGAGAACTGATAGAGTATCAATACTGTAGGTAGATGTGTGGTATGTTTGTCAGAGGGATTTTTTCGTTAACTATGCAATTAATAGTCCCTTGAGCCATTTGTGTAGTCTCCATATATATATATCAAAATATAGCCGACTCAAGTATCACAATTTATATAAAAGATATAAGATTAATATTTGATGAACAGTAGTAGGATTTCATAATCAGCACACACAACACTTTGTATAGCAGATGGTTCCCATCTAGTTAACCTAAAGCAATTAAAAAAAATCATCCTACTAACTAGAAGTTATTCACCATCACACTCTTTGTTAAGGGTGTTTAGACACCTATGAGACCATCGCTATCTTTACATCAACTACTGTTAGTATGAAAGGCCACATATTGTTATTGTTAAATAAAGACATTTCCTTCCAATCTGGTTTTATTACTCAACGTTAAAATTTTAACTTAAAATGATGTGTGTTTGGACTTTTGAATTATATTTTTTTTTTATTGCAAAACATAGGCTTTCTCTTCGATGATTTTTCATCGTGATTTATCAAGAAATATCAACGTCTATGTGCTCTTTAAACATGATAAACAAATCAAGCAGAGAATCGTCATAGGATAATTAATACTCTGCTCGAATTTGATATGAAGTATGGCGGATACAATCTGCTGTAATATCTGACATGTCGATGTATAAACTCGCATATACACTGTAAGCTTTCCGATAGAAACAGTGTTTTTTTTTTAAATCTCCTGTTATTTTTGTACTCTTGCAATCTGCTTTTAGGGTGATGAAAGAATTAAGATTTAAAGAATTTAATTATGCTTACAATGTACTGAAAGAAGGAAACTTGTATATGCATGATTTCTTTTTTCTTGTTTTCCTGTTTAGTGTTTAGTGAATGATTCCTGTTCAGTGGTTAATGAATTGAGTGTTTCAATAAATTGATCGGTTTAATCATATAGGAACTGAGTGTTAAGTTGCATAAAATTTTAGTGAGATCAAATTTCAAAACGCTTTAGGTTAACAACTTCAAATCGAGTGTAAAGTTGCACAACTTCTAATGAGGTAAACTTTCAAAATGCCACAGGTTATCAACTTCAAATGTATAGATTATGAGTGTGATGTTGAATAACTTCTAGTTAGTAGGATGATTTTTTTTAATTGCTTTAGGTTAACTAGATGTGAACCATCTGCTATACAAAGTGTTGTGTGTGCTGATTATGAAATCTGACTACTGTTCATCAAATATTAATCTTATATCTTTTATATAAATTGTGATACTTGAGTCGGCTATATTTTGATATTAATTTATGTAGTAATAACATATGAATGATGATTTGATGCTGTTTTGAACAATATACAATATATATTTGTTGAGTTTTATTAAAATTAACATTTTTATGTAGTGGTAACATATCTTATAGAAAAATATAGTTTTGTTTCTATTGTATTAAATANATTATCAACTCACAATTAAAAACAACCTAATCCTAAACCTACTTTTTGTCAACATTTAAAAAAGAAAAAGAAAAAAACCCTACTTTATGATAAGCTTAACTTGTTTTCATTAATGTTTAATAGAATGTTGTGTATATATTGTTGATTAGAAAAGATTTTTAATTGGGCATACTATGTATAGCCTCATAGACATTGTTGTATTTATTAGTCCTAGCCGTTGGTTATGGTGATGATTGAACTCACACATTTGGAAATGTTATCTCTCACCTGATCTACACATGTCGCATTCAACGGTCATCTGGATTTGTTAAAATATAAAACTAATGATAAAAGGCATGTTCGTTTACACACAATTTAATGATTTAAATATACATACTGACGAAATGTTCATGTTGACATTAAATAAAGACAAGACAGACAATCAGTTAACATTTTAATAACAATACATGGGTTAGCGAATACATACTCGAGCTGTTGTCTTAAAAGTCTCCACATAAATTAGTAAAAAAATGATAGTCGTTATGGTTTTATGAAGCGACTTTCTGACCAGTGTATAGATTGAATGATTTCATTAATCTTCTTTCTGCGTCACATATTGTTTTTAGTTCCCTAATAGCTTCCTTTATAAAAGTCTTATAACATCATTTTCAAATGATCGTTGATACAATTAAATAAAGAGTGTGAAGGAATACAGGACTGAATAGTAAATTGGCGCCACAGTTTCTCCACTTCTAAATGGTTGATGGTTGACAGGGCTTCTTCGAAATATCTATCTATTATGTCTTCACTATCAAGTATGACACAGGCATGTCCTTGCTGGTTAGCTTGACCCTCCACACATCCTGCACATACAAACAATCTTGATGTGACGTCTTTCACGCTCAATGCATAAGCTAGGCATAACAAGTTTTTCACAATCCCCATAAAAGCGTTTTCCTCGATACGATTTCTCATGTAGGAATAAAGTATCTCCTCAAATATTTCCATTATAAATTACCACGATACTGTGTAACCTTAGACGTATAGGGGTATGACCATTTGTAAATACACCCAATCAGTCGACCACTTTTTATGCTCGATTTTGACGGAATCGTAGGATGCCCAGGAGCTTAAATGTACTCCACACATGAAACAGGTGACTTTATCGCTATGTCCTGAATAACAAAATCTGTTACGGGCGAGTTGGTTTGGAGTCTGATGTATTTGTTGGGGCCAGTCTTGGAACGTTTTTTTAAATACTCAATTGTTACATTGTCAAGTTAAACTTTTAAAGATGTTGATTATTAAATTTGTTAATATTGAAACATTATATGTGTCGAAAATCAAGTGTTGATAAGTTTGAATTATTCAGTCGATATATCCTAACATAGTTGATTTTCTTGTTGACTTAAATGATGTGTACATTTTGTTGATTAATAAAATTGTTTGTGTTGAATCTTTCATTCTATGTTCATTTTTATTCTCAGTTTNGGGGGTTCCATGTGGGGAAAAAATGAGGAAAATGGTGAAAATACATGACTTTTAAAGAAAATTATCGGGGTGGGGGTGGGGTTCCTGAAGCCCAAAAAAACCCTCTGGATCCGCCACTGCTACTCTTACTGTTACTAGCCTCGTCTGTCAATACACCTATAATATACTCGTATAGGTGTATTGACAGACGAGGCTATTAACAGTAAGCCAACTAAGTAAAATCAAGTGAATAAAAATCAATCCCAATCAATTTTCCTTATCCATTATGCAAAATATTTATAAGTGCTTCCCAACCAAACAAATGGCTAAAATGCTATCTTTAAATATTATATAACATGTAAGAAAAAGTACATTAGCAATAGAAAACTTAAAGCAGATGAATTTAATCAAATATGGTAAAATTAACGAAATTAAGAATTAAATACTTATCAAATATCGAAACAGCTCTTCAGTTGATACTGGCAAAATACCATCAAATATGAATAATAACCAAACAATGATAAGTTGTGCTTTAATGCATACATTGTATCAATCTATAATATACATGTATATGCATGTGCATAAACGATTACACAAACTATCACTAATTACCCTACTAGCTCTAAATATGTCTTTGAGTCTATGATACTTTTTAAGCAGAGAGAAGATTAGTATTGATTGGTATTCAATGCTCCACATCGAATATTGGTGTTCAAGTTCTTTATCAACTTTAAGTCTTGCGACTTATCAGTGTAAACATATAATAAACAGCCGATTTACATATGTACAAAAAGCCACATTGGTCACAGGAGAATTAACAATCCACACATACACACGGTGTTTAGAACACACCGGACAGATCACAAGTTAATCTGTTAAGATTCAGTTATGGCCAAATGACCGGTCATTCTACTGTGTGTATATATGTGTGTATGAGGTGATATGTGGATACGGAATCAATATTTCCATTACAGGTTTAAACTAATGACCACACATATTCTGTAGTTTGGAGGAGTGGAGAAGTCATGACATCCAACCCCGAACTTCAGGGAGTAGTATACAATGGGGCGGATAGTTACTCGTCTGGAATGGAGAACAGTAGAAAGGTTGTACGGACGGCCATTAAACAATTGCTGCAATGTGTAGGTAAGAAGGACATACTATGTTGTATACCTACTGCACCCCTTTGATAATACTTAAGACGTCTAGGTGTTAATTACAGTGTCTATGGAGAAGTAAAATGTACATCATATTTCGATACAACACATGCTGTAATAAACGCTTTCATAAACGTATTTGGTATTTTGTGATAGATATGAAATATTTTAAACATTTAATTTTGAAGAGAATCTGTTGAAGCCAGGGAATGGGAATTCCAGGACGATATGTATAGCTGAGTTTGGAGCTGCTGACGGAGGTGTGTCATTGGAGCTCATGGACACGGTAATAGGTACGTTATAACGTATGTTTTTGCTAATAAAGAGACCAGATGTTATATTTTATTATTTCATTGTACCTACCTTATACTGATTTACTGCTCGCTCTCCATCATATTCTTGCATACTGGAGCTACTGCACAACCGGCTTTTGTGTTCCTTACTATTGGACAGCTAATTATTGTACACGGAACTTTTGCTAATTATCTTTTGTACACCTAATTATTGCACACCTTATTATTATACACGTAACAATTGTTAACCGTATTATTGTACATGTACACCTACCAGACAATTGTACATCTTAATTGTGTACACATAATCATTGAACATCTGACTATTTTAAATGTAAGTTAGTTTATTTTATAACAATTCTGAAACAAGTTAGTTCAACTTATATTAATGTCGCTTGTTGGCCCGAATATTAGCGCGCGTGGGATCGTTTTTAGGAGGAAACCGGAGTACCACGTGGTCGGATAGGTGATCTCATACCTTTTAACGTCCGATCGGTGACTTTTTTTACACCTGACTATTTTACACGAGTCCAATATACACCTAACTAATATACACGTTACTATTGTACACCTAATAATTTAACATTTAAACATTGTTTGTTTTCCTTACTATTGCAAAAGGACATATTTCTTTGGAATTTTCCATTTGTTCTATAGGGAGTTTGGCACCTTACATTTGATATTTAATATATAAAGATGCTTTATCTGATATATATGATGGATGTTAAAAACTGATAAAACACGTTCTTTCTCAGACTACGATTACTAGTCTGGCCTAAATACTTCTTCTTGAAGAACATATACCATGTATTTAAAAACAAATCTTTCCACTGATTAAAATTAAATTGTTTTAGTAAGAAGGCCTTTGTTGGGATTTATTAAAAATTCTATAAACTTATTTGATTCTAAAGATAGACGTATTTAAACTTAAATGTTTTAAATATCTCAATATGTTATTTCTTTTTGTTATAATGGTTTCTTAATGAAAGCTAATGGTTTTACGCGAAGAGTAAATCATTTTTTTGTCTGGAATAAACTAATATGTAACATAATTACATATAATTAAATTACATATTTTCTTTCATGGTAACTAATAAGAACGATTTGTACGCAACCATTAAATTTTGTCTATTGTCAAATATTGTTTGATGTAGTTCAAATATAGAAAAAGGCAAAAAACTGGGGTTTCCTATACTTTTCGTCATTTAATGAAACAAGTTATTCAGAAAACTGACAGTGAAAAATAAATACCATGTAAAGGTTTGTTATTTTGTAATATATAACGAGGATAAAAGGATGGAATTGCTTGTATTATTATACAACAATACGTAATCATTAACCAATAAAAGTGTCTGTACCGACGTGGTAGAATATGAGTTTAAGGTCATGAACTACACAAAACCGTATTTATTTTACAGCTCTAGTTCTTCCAACTTATGAACGTGCTGAAGAGTGATTTTATGAGTCGACATGAACATTTATGGAAGGTTCATGGAAAGCAAATGTCACCAAAAACACAGACTGATGACTTTGTATCTGGTCACATAATTCTTACAACATGCCAGCCGGAAGTCCTTCTGGTGATGTCGCCTAATTAAGGAGTACATAATTATGGTAGATCAGAAAATCAATTGAGTAATTAACACCAGGCATATAGAAAAGTAACACATGTTTCAAAAATAGCCTGTCAACTGTTTACATTTTCATTATACTATTTAACATAACTGAGAAATGTGAAACTGCTTTTCAATGGGGTCTGTTGACATACTCTGGTTTTCAGGATTTAAATTTTACCGAATTTAACACACTTTAATAAGAAAACCGTGATAGCATTGTTTTTTGTTTGTGAAAACGTTAGTAAGTGGCCGACAAGGCTTTGTAAAATCCCAATCATTTTTACAACAAGTGGCAAGGTTGTATGTCCTCAACTTCTTAGTCTAGGTGCCGGCTTTAACTGAAGTGCTGCTCGCTTATCAGATATTTTTAAACCTGACACACAGCAAAGGATATTAAATGTTATATTTATCTTAATAGTGGATTTTGACCTACTATTGAGATACAAGATTATAAACGTGTACGTTGAGACTACGTTTTTAATCTACAACATGAACGTGCAAGCATCGTTAGACCTATTCTTCATAGCTTTTTAAATCCTTGTGTCATGCTTGCATAAAGATCTGATCAATATCGACACAGTGTCATGAAGTTTTGCGCTAAGATACCTATATCACGTATGCTTAACAAATTGAATCAACGGGCTTTGAGGTCGGTCGTTATATCTTTTGTTTATCTGTGAGTGTGCATATATGTTAGTAAATTGTGCAAACGGGTTAATAAATTACACACATTAGTAAGGCGTAATTTGATATGGAGATTTAGTATTGTTTAACAGTATCAAACATGAAGGAAAACTTAATAAATTTACACCGCTTTCCTACAGTATATAAGCTGTTATAATATTGTAAAATCTTCTGAAGTTTTATTTTCCTTTCAGATAATATCAACCAGATGTCCAGCGATCCCCGGGAAATTACACTTGTTTACGAAGATCAATTGTTTAACGATTTCAACGTTCTATTCCAGACGGTCCACGGTAGGTCAATATTTTACGTTACTTGTTCATGGCACATTGTCTTTAAACGGATGTATATTATGTTACTCCGTAAGAATGTCTGACGTTCTGCTTCTTTTATGATTTTAGATTTTAGATTTATTTTAGAATGATTTTTTTCTTAAGCATTATAGAACGTAAAAAATATCAAAACAGCGTTTTATTAATCGATAACGTAGTCAACAATTTATTTAACTACTCGTATTTGAAAATAAGCGGTAACAATGATTTTTGTTTAATCATTGATATAGATATACAATACAACAATCTAAAAAAGACGTTTTGAATACAGCTAAATATTATTCTTAGTGTTTGGAATTTAAAATAAGGTAATGGACCCCAGCAGATAGAGTATGAAGTAAACAAATTAAAACAATACATGAAAAGCTACTTTCGATTCCCCTTTTTATTTGTTAGAAAACGTTGTTTCATTAACTACATTTAGTTAGTGTAACTTAACAAAAATGCTTCTGTTTTTCTGTCGTTTCTTTTCAGCAACGAATTCGGAAATATGCAATAAATTGTCCGTACGCGATAACGTACACGTGCTAGCCAGTGCTACATCAATGTACCGGAAATGTCTACCAACAGCTTCCGTCGATTTGGCTTTCTCTTCAATGGCAAACCACTGGCTCAGTGAAAAGTAAGGGATCTTAACACAAGATAGCTAAATAAAACCGTTTTCTGTATAATAAAAACAAAGTGAACGGAGGCTCAAATAGATATACCATTGACCCGTTACCTCAACTTTTGACAAAACAAAACCCAATCAGGCAAAGAATTTTATGTTACCATGCTATGTTGTTAATGCGAACTAAATTTGTGGAAGGGTCCTGGAATATCTTGCACATGAGCGTTTTACTTCAAAACTGGTCAAATTTGATCTTTGTCCTTGACTTCGTTCCCTTAACCTTAACCGATGATCACCAAACTTTAATCAGGTTTAGCGCATGCTTTGATCATACTATGGTGTAAATATAAAACCAATTGTGTTCAGGGGTTCATGAAATATATGTACACAACTTATTTGATATTGAAGAATGCTTTGCCCATAGTCTTTGACCTTTGTACTTGACCGATGATCAGGAAAAAACTTATTTGGTGTAAATATGATGTTACTATACTATTGTGTAAGCATAAACAAAATGTTTTGAAGCATTTGTGAGATATCCTGTACACAAGCTTTTGTTTCCCTTCAAAAGTGGTAAAGCGTTAGCTTTGCCGTAACCTTTAACCCTTTAACCTTTATCGATGACCACTAAAATCTAACTAGGTTAATACTTGAAACTAGAATAACCATACGATGGTGTCAATATGAACAACATTTGTTAAGTGGTTTATTAGATAGCTTGTGCAAAAACCTTTTACTATGGACTGACGCTTGTACGTATGGACGGACGCACCGACAAAGGGATTTCAGTATACCGCCATCACTAAGCAGGGTGGGGGTCGGATGAGAAAAGAACTGATTAAAATGAAATGCATAAGACGTTACATGTAAGATTTTGCATACGATACTATTGAATAAACATTATTTGAACCAAAAAAACAGTTGTTAGTTGATTGTAATGCATCGTCCTTATTTGTATCCGATTGATAGACCCTGTGACATCCGAGGCGGGATATTCCAGAGTGACTGTGACAGGAATGAACTAGAAGCGTTTCGACACCAATGGCAGACCGACTGGAAACAGTTTCTATCGTGTCGAGCCAAGGAACTCCAACCAGGTAACACCAAACTTTCAATTACTTTGTCCCAGTGTAGATTACGGAAATTACATGTTAACGGTATCACACTGCATGAGGCGACTAACGTGCGACCCCTGCATATTTGGATCTTATTTCTATCCACTGCTTATGGGAATTTAATAAACTGATGTTGACATTTTATTTTCGCATTTAAAATGTTTAACTTTATCGTCTCTGTTTACACACGTACCCTTTTCCCCATGTTTGCCGTGGTCCCAATGTAGTGATGAACCGGTTAGATTTAACAAGTTTTCAGCTTCATCTTAGTGTACCAGAAAATAGAAATCAATATTCATTGTATGTTAGTTAGAAACTTGATTAAAAATATAATGGGTTTTATAACACAACTTTTATAATTGTTTAGAAGTCAATATAGCTTATCGCATTGATGTGTCTTTTATTATGGCAGTAGTGTTTTTAACGATAATAATGTCAAGGTTACAATACGCACATTTGCTTTGTAACTATCGTTTAACGGTATTACGGTTAAGGATAATATCAATATAAGGCCAGCTTATATACAAAATGATTTAACGAGGGTCTTCATCTAATTGATGATCACATCTGCATGCTAATAAGTCTCCAATTTCAACAAGCTCCGTTCACCCGTGACGTTTAATGTTTTTGACAGCTTTTGAAATCCAGTGTTGTTGTAGGCGTGGATAGTACTCCTGGTGTTTAGGGCATTTTTTTTGTCTGACCCTTGGTGTATTTTTGTAATTAATTATGGGTATATATATATGTTTATTCGATGAATGCTTCGCTAAGATTATCGCCGGTCTCCTTGTAATTTGGAGTACGTGGATGTCCGTAAAATAAAGGGCATTGGAAGACATATTTTAAAAATGACCACGTTATCTCGAAATATGTCCGTAATCAATTGACAAAAGTCACCAGTTCGAAAGTTTATTATAAATGTAATAGACAGATGAACACAAAACACATACATTCACAAGTATCGATACAAGATGTCCATGTATATACCACATAGTCAAAACCATACCGTATATTCATATGTATACACCATATAGTCAGTGGAGATGACTAATACATGTATAGGTTTTTAGCCTGTTGTCCAATCCTGTTGACAGTGTAACATTCTTTTGTCAATAACATTTGCTGAAATTAAAACTCTAGTATTGTTTCATGTGTAGCCGGTCGTGGCTTAAAGGTTCTTGTCTAATAATTATCAACACCTTCTTTCTTTACAATATCGTTTATTCCCCGGTCATAAGACCCTAACAGCAATTAATAACAATAAATGTTAACTTTTCCTACCCTAGACATTTACATAAAAGAACAGGCTAACTTGCGCAAACGTAACAGATTAATGCATTTGATAACTTTACTCTTCGCTATATAATTATTACTAAATCAAAATACTGAACAACACAGTCGCGATCATCTGAGATACAATACATATGTGCGTTACTCTTGTGATAGGAAGTTATACAAAACCTACACTGTAACTACTGATATATATATGAATTACCAGCGACTGATGTGATTTACAATTACACTTACAAATCTATCACATCAGTTAGAAATATCAAATAAACAGGATCACAAAATAACACCTACCTCTTCAAAGGGAAGTGGACTTCGGGGTTATTCAAATAAATTATTGTGGTCTGTAGCCAAACAGATCAAAACAATGTAAGTTTAGAATTCCGTCCACACAGGCTGAAAACTTGTACAGGTGTGAATAAAATTTAACACAAGTGCGACTCACTGCACAGCCGCGCACTGACCACTAACTGGCCACTACAAAGAGTTTTAAAAATACATTACCCCCTGACCCCAGTCAGACAGGTGTACATCTAAACTAAAAATAGATCACTGTCATATATATATATAAATATGACAAGTGCTCGTTTACAAGTTGCACTTATTAAGTATTGATAAAAAACAACTAAATAATATGAACAATACATTGTCAATAATGACACTGTTACACATGCGCGGTCGTTTAAGTAGCCAATGGTGATCTGATTATCACATATATACGGACCCGGGAATCGTATGCCTTCTCCGTTTAATGTTAGACGGCTATTCTACACTAGGACAGTGAATGTGTATGTGTCAGTAGGAATTGTGTATGTAATATCAGTGTCATCACATTCAGTACAGTAACTTCCGAGTCTCATGATGAATCTCAATAATTGTTAAAAATGAATCGTCAAGTAATAAGATTTAAATTGAAAACAACAGATAATGACACAATAAAAAAAAGTTAAGAAGGTAATGTATTAACCCAAGGAAAGTGGGTTTTTTTCCGTTGGATGCTGTCTCAGCTATTCATCTCATTAAGGCATCTTCGATGCTCCAGAGGTTACGCTCACTTTCGCTCACTGCACCCCTGGAATATGTCATAGCAAATCTGAAGGCAAAAAAAGCTGTTTAATTGGTTTAAGGTTAAAAAAACACCTGACGAGGCTTATACCTGTCCTTTGAAGATTAGAAAGGAGCGACACCCGACTTCAAAGCCAGTCAATTTTTACCGTGTCGCGACCGCGAGATTCTTTTGATGTACATCAAATGATCGAACTAGTCTGCTTGTCTCGTCAACAGGGAACCATACACTGAACCTTCAGGTTTGCTATGACACATTCCAGGAGTGCAGAGAGCGAAAGTGAGCATAACCCCTGGAGTTTTGAGGACGATGTTAAGGTAGCGTATTGTATTATTGCTTCTGTTGTATTTTCAGGAGGATACTTGGTGGTGGTTTCCTTCGTCACTGATGACGTAGGACGGTGTAACAACCACGTGGGAGAGGACTCGTATGATGTGTTCTCTAGTATCTGGAAAGGATTTCGGCAAAGTGGAAAAATTAGTGAGGTAGTGATAAAAATAAGTAAATATATTTATAAACCAACCCCCATTAAAATACATTCGCGAATGCATCTTATTTTCTTTCTGGAATTTGATGGGAAACGTGACGATGGGTACTACATACGGTGCGGGAAACGCTTACTTTTTTCTATTGTACTTTTTGTAACTTTCGTTTTGTTTTTCGTTCAAAATGTTTGTTTTTTTAAATTTCCTTTGATGTCACTTCTAGGTCTTTTGTGGTTTTATCGAAATATTACTTTGATTTAATCTCTCTAAATCTAGTGGTCATCATTTCCTTGGATACTCACATATGCATATATGTAAATATTTCAGATATATCTACTAGAGGTTTGAACAACCCAAATGCATTCCCCTCCAAATCGGTAAAACATATAATGTAACCAAGGAGTGTGAAAGATGTTAGATTGTTTTTATGCAATTCTGTCTCACACAGCAATGCGTCATAACTATTTTCCAGAGCTGGAGCTAGATACGTGCAGGAGTTGAATAAATGTCTTTAGTGAATTTCTAAATTTCAAGAGACACTCCTTAAAACTGTGTACCTTTGAATCTTTAGTTAGATAAACATGGCATATAGCCATCACTACATTGAATAAACTGGTTTATATCTTTTTCTGAACACAAAATAGGAAGAGGCAAGTTGTGCTGTACACTTTTACCCTTTTACATGATAGCTTACGTGTTTCATGGAGTCGTCGAGATAGTTTTGAAGATATTTTCTTAATAATTCATATTTTCATGGAAAATATATTACAGCCATTAGTATACCTATTGATTCAAGCTGCCAATGACCTATTGTGTTTCGAGCGTAAAATAAAAATAAGTGATTACAGTATACTCCAACCTATATCGGGGACAATGTCCGTATTGTTTTTATTGAAGTCAACTATCCAAACCAATGAGCAATACTTGAATAAATTACACAGCTAATGTCATACCGAATGAACTTCTTAAACTTGAGTATTTAAAAATGGTGTGTTTAGGAAGAATTTATCTACACCTCGAGCGTGACCTACCATCCCTCTAAAACCGAGCTCGTGCAGCCATTCCAAGCCGACATTGAAGGAAGTCTGTCGCTGGTTTCCTGTACACAGAGAGACGTGGAAATACTCCCTGGTCTAGCAACCGAAACAGGTAAGGTCAATCAGGCATGGTAAGGATACCTATTACAATATTTAGGTCATTTACAAATGATACATATGCGATATTAATAGAAATGATGCTGAAATTTCACGCAAAATTAAATGTCCCTTTTTGGTAAGTTTCGACAACATACTTTCATCGTGTTTTTTTGTGTCGTTACGAAATGAGCTTAATTGGGGATTTACACCAAACTATAGCTTTGGAGAAAATTGTAATGCATTTTCCATATTTTTTTCTGGACATGGATGGTATTTCACTTGTTAGAAAATTAGATGTCATCGACTTTAACATACAGCACATGTGGTCAAAGTATTGTTTCGAATCAAAATCCGCATAGTTTTGAATATCTACAGTAGTGAAAAATAGAAAAAAAACATTTTTGAAAACTTGCAGACAGTTTTTAAATTCTTACAATATTGTAAGTGATCTTGTGTTTTCTGATTGCCCATGTAGGTATCGAGGACAAAGAGACGTTTGTGGACAGATCCCTAAACTGTATAAAACCATGGATGTACAATATTCTCATGTCAGGACTTTCCCCAGATCGAACCGAGGCAGACAAAGGCAGACTTCTCGACGAATATTTCAAGACGCTTCGTAATATCCTTATGCAAAGGACCACGTTTTGTCCTATATTATACAGAACGGCTTGCGTGATAGCTAAACGAACATAGTTCTATGGAGTTGTAGAATTATCGTTTTAATTATCACCATCAAATTGTTATATTTTAGCTAAATTGACTTTGTTGCAATTGCGAGTATGAAGTGATTTATTCACGCAGGAAAAAAGTTCGGAAATGAAAAAGTGTTTTAAATCTACTAGGAATTGCTCAACATTTACTCGCTAACCAGCGGTCTCCTTTTACTGTTTACTCACTCGTACCAGTGGCGGCTATCAACTATTTGTTCGCTCGTACCAGTGGTCAATATCAACTATTTGTTCGCTCGTACCAGTGGTCACTGTCAACTGTTTACTGACTCGTACCAGTGGTCACTATCAACAGTTAACTCGCTCGTACCAGTGGTCACTGTCAACTGCTTACTCGCTCGTACCAGTGGCCACTGTCAACTGTTTACTGGCTCGTACCAGTGGCCACTGTCAACTGTTAACTGGCTCGTACCAGTGGTCACTTTCAACTGATTACTCGCTCGTACCAGTGATCACTGTCATCTGTTTACTCGCTCGTACAAGTGGTCACTTTCGTCTGTTTACTCGCGCGTACCAGTGGTCACTGTCAACTGTTTACTCGCTCGTACCAGTGGTCACTGTCAACTGTTTACTGGCTCGTACCAGTGGTCACTGTCATCTGTTTACTCGCTCGTACCAGTGGTCCTTACTTGCTCGTACCAGTGGTCACTGTCATTTGTTTACTCGCTCGTACCAGTGGTCAATATCAACTATTTGTTCGCTCGTACCATTGGTCACTGTCAACTGTTTACTGTCTCGTACCAGTGGTCACTGTCAACTGTTTACTGTCTCGTACCAGTGGTCACTATCAACTGTTTACTGACTCGTACGAGTGGTCACTATCAACTGTTAACTCGCTCGTACTAGTGGTCACCGTCAACTGTTTACTGGCTCGTACCAGTGGCCACTATCAACTGTTTACTCACTCGTACCAGTGGCCACTGTCAACTGTCTACTGGCTCGTACCAGTGGCCACTGTCAACTGTTAACTGGCTCGTACCAGTGGTCACTTTCAACTGATTACTCGCTCGTACCAGTGATCACTGTCATCTGTTTACTCGCTCGTACAAGTGGTCACTTTCGTCTGTTTACTCGCGCGTACCAGTGGTCACTGTCAACTGTTTACTCGCTCGTACCAGTGGTCACTGTCAACTGTTTACTGGCTCGTACCAGTGGTCACTGTCAACTGTTTACTCGCTCGTACCAGTGGTCACTGTCAACTGTTTACTGGCTCGTACCAGTGGTCACTGTCATCTGTTTACTCGCTCGTACCAGTGGTCCTTACTTGCTCGTACCAGTGGTCACTGTCACTTGTTTACTCGCTCGTACCAGTGGTCAATATCAACTATTTGTTCGCTCGTACCAGTGCTCACTGTCAACTGTTTACTCGCTCGTACCAGTGGTCACTGTCAACTGTTTACTGGCTCGTACCAGTGGTCACTGTCAACTGTTTACTGGCTCGTACCAGTGGTCCTTACTTGCTCGTACCAGTGGTCACTGTCATTTGTTTACTGGCTTGTACCAGTGGTCATTATCAACTATTTGTTCGCTCGTACCAGTGCTCACTGTCAACTGTTAACTCGCTCGTACCAGTGGTCACTGTCAACTGTTTACTCGCTCGTACCAGTGGTCACTGTCAACTGTTTACTCGCTCGTACCAGTGGTCACTTTCAATTGTTTACTCGCTCGTACCAGTGTCAACTGTTTACTCGCTCGTACCAGTGGTCACTGTCAACTGTTTACTCGCTCGTACCAGTGGTCACTGTCAACTGTTTACTCGCTCGTACCAGTGGTCACTGTCAACTGTTTACTCGCTCGTACCAGTGGTCACTGTCAACTGTTCACTGGCTCGTTTGAGTGATCAATATTAACTCGCTTGTACCAGTGGTCACTGTCATCTGTTTACTCGCTCGTACAAGTGGTCACTTTCATCTGTTTACTTGCTTGTACCAGTGGTCACTTTCGTCTTTTTACTAGCTCGTACCAGTGGTCACTTTCGTCTGTTTACTCGCTCGTACCAATGGTCACTACCAACTGTTCACTCAGTCGTACCAGTGGTCAATATTAACTATTTACATGCTCGTTTCAGTGGACATTTGTCACTTAACTGTTCATCTCGTACACATGACCACTATAACAGATCACCTTTTTTTTTTACTTCTTACAAAAGTTCATTATCGATTGTTTACCTCATACATGTGATCATTATATAAAAATAATACATGCCTTTTCCCATATTACACCAAGCATCAACCCGAGACTGCAATATCAGTCCAAGGGCCGAAGGTTAATACTGGGTGTGATATGGAAAAAGGCATTTTTTATTCAGTTTATTACATACTTACGAATAAAAGCTACTGTCTTATGATATATTTTTCTTTTGAAATATTGAAAAACGATAAATTTATAAAAAGGGGTATGATACGGGTTTTACGGGCTGATACGAGTTAAAGTCATACGGCGGGGGCTGATATGGATTTTAGTGTGTGATACGGCGAGGGCTGATATGGGTTAGATCAATTGTGTCGTATCGCATATACAAAAAACCCGTATTTATTAGTAAGTATGTAATAAAACCTGTTAACCTAGTATAAGTTGCTGCTATCAAATGTCTAATACGGTGTATAAGTGCCCATTATAAACAGTTTAGTTTTAAAATTTGCCAACTTTTACATTGTTGTCATCATTATCAAGTTTCTTTATTTGTAGGGTCTACCACTATAACTTGTATATCATAGTGTTTAATATGAACTGCTCATATTAATATTATTTCTCATTCATTATATGATGATATAAGTAATTGGTTTTCATAGCTACATGAATAAGTTACAGTAAGTGAGAGTTATACAACGGAGGAGGCAATTCTTATCAGATTTAAGTATTTAATTGACAAGAGGTGAAACGTGGTCATGTATGAGTGTCGATCAATAAATTATGTCACTAGTATCAGAAAGGCGAATTTTCAGCAGGCGAAAATTCAACCTCAGCGAAAATTTCCCAGTATACAGTATTCTATTTTCAGTAGCTATCTATTTCTATCTTATATGTAAATACTTAAAAGTATGACAAATGCAGGTTAAATACTGAGGGCATTATAACAAACAACTCTGTAGGGATTGTAACTTATCGTCTATAGCACCCAGACTTTTTGTTCTTTTTATTTATTCAGACGTAGCATTAAGACCTGATTAATACATAAATGACGTCCATTATACGTTTGCGTTTTGTTTTAATGTTTATTGTCAAAATTGATTTAAAAACATGCTTGAGATCTATTGTATAAATATATTAGTCCGGTATTCCGTCTTTGCGTATTGCAGAGTTATCTTCTCTTGGGAGCAGGTATTGATTGTTACGTCACTTGTTTGTGAGAGTAACGTCATCAATTTTTGAGAAAACGACGTAATTTTCTCGCACAAACCAATGACGTAACAATCAATACCTGCCCCCAAGAGAAGATAACTCTGCAATACGCAAAGACGGAATAGAATCATCTGCTGTGTATTTATGTTAAAGCAAAACATGCATGTTTGAAAATTCCATAAATGATATGAAAACAGTATCAACTTTTCACATTGCAGAAATGATCATTTATTGATATGTATATACGGTAGCGTAATATAAGATGACCTTCTGTCACTCAAACACAAATATCATTATCAATATGTTGCCTTTAGCTTACCTAACGTTGAACAATCGGGCCAAGACATAATACGTGATTTAATTACATTAATTATAAATCTGAAGTTTATAGTAATGTATTTACATTAAAAACAAATCTTAAGTTTATACTTAATGTAATTTGATATGAATGATATGACCCGAGTGTAATAACTCGTTTGTTTGCTCAATCTTGAGCTTTTTATTAATACATATCACTCTTTCTTTTGTTTACTTTTTAAATTTGTTTTTGTTTTGTTTTAATAAATAAAAAAGAAAGGTATAAGAAACATTTGATGGTGAGATTTTGATAATTTCAATAATGTATGAACATGCTTCAATTTAGGATTTAATATGAAAATGTAATTTAGACTAGTAGAAAAGTGTATAGTTAAAGATTTCGTTTTTGTTTTAAAATAGAAGAAATGATGAAAAACTAAAATAAAAGATCATTTCACTCCTTTATATGGTGTATTGAGGTGTTAATATAGAATTTTAAGGGGAAAATCGAAACTCTTCTTAATTTAAGTAAAAAAAACACACTATTTTATGACAAATTGTGTCTAACACAATGGATTTATTGTTTCTATAGTGCTTACATATCATACATCCATGACTGTAATCTATTTATAGAACAAAAATGAAATGACGCTTAACGTGTTTTTTCCCTTTTTATAAACAGAAAACGATTTGTAATTTTGTATTAGTTATTACTGATCAAAAATAAATGTTATCTCTGAAACATATAACGATCGGCTCACCTTTGTGAAAAGCTAAAGAGTTAAAACATCACAAGATCGTATATCTTATTATCCTCTCACAACTGAGACGGAGTTTACGACGGGTCCTACTTGTACAGACGTTTTGGAGTCCCTTTGCCATTGCTCTATGGACTATCCATAATGGATTTTTTTTTATAAAAAGGTCAGTGTTAGTTCTAAAAAAGGATTTTTTTTATAAGAAGGTCAGTGTTGGTTCTAAAAAAGGATTTTTTTTGTATCTCAAACGTTTTTAGCATTTCATTGTGTTGCATTCTAGGCTATTGACAATTACTATTTTTAGAAAAACTTCATCATAGATTTAGCGACATTATTCAGATCAATAGATATCATGAAATTCCAAAGTTTGAAACATGTGAATACTTCAAGCTGAGTTCACATTTCACGGAGCTGAGTTCACATTTCACGGAGCTGAGTTCAAAGTCACAAGGTTAGGAATGTTGCTGTATCAGTTATAATGTATACTTGTGTAAAAGCGAATGACTCAGATGTTTTACTACTTGGTGTATTCTTTCTTATATATATTTTATGAAGTAATCAAAAGGTTTTTTTTCTGGCTGAGAGTGACGTCCCTTGTCAAAATATTCATCTCTCAATGTCAAATAGTTTGATTTACAGTGGTGCTTATAATCGATATACTAGCTTTAACTTTATTACGATTGAGATTAGTAATAATGGTAATAATTAAGATTATTAATTTGATATTAACTAGTACTCCTCTAAATATTTAAATTGATAAATTAAGTATTTTACGCATCTGCCCCTCTGTTTCAACAGTAGCTAAAATGTAAGACTATTTTGATTTCCAACATTTTGGCCCAAATCACTACCGACGAGACCTAGAGACAGCTGTATTATGCAGTGTTATTAATGCTTAGCATGTTATATTGCTTACGTGTTAAAGGTGCAGTTCAAGTTGTGCGTGTCTTAGGTTACTCCTCATATAAAGCAGGACAAAGACAACCCTGTTTGTTGTAGGTAAGGCATCTTTATTTAAAATACTATAAAGTTAACAAACAAGAATGATATGCGTACTGAAGACAAAAAGACAATGAGAAGAATCAAGGAAACAACTAGCCGGATAAGCAAACTCCCGAAACCGGAAGCATATCAGGTGTTGTAAAAGTGTATATCTGAACCACATGTGGTACCCTTATGATGTTTTCTATTAAATCAGTTGAGTTATCTGGTCACATATTGATCTAACATTGATTCTATTTTTCATTTTTTTTACTATTTTGTTACTTTCTGTTGTCATGGATACGTAAGACAGTTGCTTTGTTTTCAGTAGTAGTATATTTTGATCTCTGAAGTATTTCGCACACCATGGCGATCACAGCATTGTACACGTAGCCATGGACTAAATAGGATACGCTATGCCAATGTTCTGTCGAGAACAAGAAAACATTTCCCTGCCATAGACGACCTGGGCCCAAATTTATGAAACCGTTCTCATGCTCATGTATAAATTCTGTGCTCAACCCAACTTTCTTTTAACTCGCTTAAGTCACGCGAATCGATAACAAATATATGTGTAACATTTGAAACGGCATTCAGATTGATGTCTCTCCAAAAGTCTTTCAA